TATAAGAGATACATTTCTAACAAAAGGATTCTGAGATAGTCAGACTATCCAGATACAAACTCACAAGTCATAAAAATTACGCTAGCCGAATTGGATTTCAAATCTACTGAAGCCTTACTATGTATCTTGGCATGACTCTGAGGTTCCAAAAACTAACACACAAGAAAATCTCACACTGAGACACAGCGCACGCTTATAACAACGCTACACTATCTAATACATACGCACACATTCGCGCATACCTTATGTCATATGACTTGTGTTTGATTAGTTGTAACACTAAAACTACTTATTCTTAAATACTGTTTTAAACATGTACCATGTACCTGACAAATTGTTATCTAGTTACCTACAACACGGGGATTCCCTAGTGTGGGGACTAGAGATAGATGAATTTTGCCACAACTTATTTCTGTCATGAATAAAGTTTTTATTTATTTATTTTATTTAAAAATTACAGTATTTGCAGCGCTCGCCAGAACGACTCTCAAAAGGGAAAATGTACACAATATCTTTATATCATAGATATGTTATTCTGATGTATAAGCTATATAATTGTGAAAAAAAAAACAGTGGCGCTACAACCTCTTTTAGGTCTGAGCCTCAGATTTCTGAATCTGTTTCATGATCATGAAAATCTCTTATCTATGGATAAGAGGTTGAAGGAATTCGCTAATTATTTCAGTTCAGTATATGTTACGCAAAAGCCCAAGCTTGACGTTGAGAAAGCTATTGCGGAGGCGGATTGTGGAAGTGGGGGAACATTGGTGCACGTAGATAAGTTGCAATTAGAGGAGGTACAGAATGCCTTACAACGTTTAAAACCAAAAAAGTCCGCTGGGCCTGATGGTATACCTACCTCCGTATATCTTTAGAGACTGTCGGGCAGTATTGGCGAAACCCCTTCTCCATATATTCAATCTTAGCCTTAAAGCATCAACATTCCCAGATCGTTGGAAAATTATTGGCGATTCTGTCAACACCAGCGAAGGTAATGGAGTCAGCGCTTGAAAAGTGCATTCTCGATCAGGTAGGATCTCAACTCTCTGACTCCCAACATGGATTTCGAGCAGCAAGAAGTACCATGAGCAACTTATTAAGCTTCTTGACTTGCATAGTACCAGTTGTGGATAGTGGAGGACAAGTTGATGCAGCCTACTTTGATATGCGAAAAGCATTTGACACGGTCGATAATGATGTGCTCTTAAAGAAATTAGCAAAAGTTGGCTTCACTGCGTCATTGATTCGGATTATGGCAAGTCACATGATAGATAGGGAGCAGTATGTGGAATATGATGGCATTAAATCTAGGAACTATTACACTTGGTCTGGCGTGACACAGGGAAGCAATTTAGGACCTCTAGAATTTTTGTTAATGGTAAATGACCAGGGGTAGTAGAAGAGGCAAAATGTTTGATGTTCGCGGATGATCTTAAATTATCACGGCCGATTAATAGCGTGGAAGATTGTCTACGATTACAGCAGGATATTGATCGGGTAGTAAATTGGTGCAGGAAAAATCGACTGCAGCTTAATTCTGCAAAATGTGCTGTTATTTCTTTTTCCAGAGCACGGACACCGATTCTCTATAATTATAACATTGAGAAACAGCCAATTCCAAGAGTAGCCGAAGTAAAAGACCTAGGGGTTCATCTAAACGTGGAATTAAATTTTCGGGATAACATAAAAATAATTTGTAAAAAAGCTTATAGGAATTTAGGGTTTATTTTGCGTATGGCCAAAGGTTTTTCAAATATAAAAGCGGTAATGGCATTGTATAATGCACTTGTTAGGAGCCACTTGGAATGTAACTCTATGATTTGGGCCCCACAAGAAAATAAATATTCTCTAATGGTGGAGCGTATTCAAAATAAATTTATGATACATATACATGAGGTTGTATGGAGTGTACCCATTTTACCCAATAATGTATCCAACTTTGTTTGTCTTGGGCATGGTTGGATACAACAAGTTAGAGGTAAGGAGGGACCTTACTATCACGGTATATTTTTTTAAGATCCTTAGAGGTAAAATCTATAACGATGTTTTCCTTCACCGTTCGAGCTAATTTTAAATGCGCACATAGAAAGAAATTTCATTGGTGCACAGCCGGGGATCGAACCTACGACCTCAGGGATGAGAGTCGCACGCTAAAGCCACTAGGCCAACACTGCTATTATTGTAAAGTTACATTAAAACCCGTTTAGTAGTCGAGTAAGGGAGTAACAAACAAACGCATAATACCACTTAGCGTTAATAATATTCTGACATAGTCTACTTTAATGGTTAATTGAATGGTTCACGGTGATGTGTGTAGAGAAAAAAACTTATCGTTAAAATTATAATATATAATTTCGCGTCTCTAATTGACGCCCACCATATTCTTGAACTAAAAGCATAACGTTAATTTAAATAGTGACATTTCTCGTGGGAACCTCGCGGGACATTTTAATCAAATACTTCGAGAAGTTTGGGACGATTTAGATAAATCGTTTAATAGCTAATCGGTTGCGTGTTTTGAATATTATAGGCTTGTTAGACGAGAGCTTTTAGTCTAAGATTTTGGGGAATTTAAGCTATGGACGAAATTTTACGTTTGCTTGAATTTATTTTATAAAGATAAATTCCTGCTTCCCATGATTTTGCGCGTAATATTTTTTGGAGTATACTCCTTAAGAAACGATTTGAGTTATAAGGCCCGGTACGGAAATTTTATGAGGAGTAAAATCAAGTGTAACACGAAAAGCTGAGGCGTTATGTAGAAAGAGACAAACATATAGAGTTTACTCCTTAAGAAACGATTTGAGATATAAGGCCCGGTACGGAAATTTTATGAGGAGTAAAATCAAGTGTAACACGAAAAGTTGAGGCGTTATGTGTAACACGAAAGGTTGAGGCGTTATGTAGAAAGAGACAAACATATAGAGTTTACTCCTTAAGAAACGATTTGAGTTATAAGGCCCGGTACGGAAATTTTATGAGGAGTAAAATCAAGTGTAACACGAAAAGTTGAGGCGTTATGTAGAAAGAGACAAACATATATATCTGTAGGATTGAACGTGTAAAAGAATGAGATGGAATACATTACACAGACTTTTCTATTTTGAATTCACGTTTTGACAGCCACGTTACAACATTGTCAGTGTTGACAGGTGTAAAAAATAAAAGTAGATTGTCTAGCGTGCCATAGAGTTTTGTCAATAGTAATGGTCAGTGAAATTAAAACTAAAAAGATTGTTCATTCTTATTCTTCTCTTACTATAAAGGTAACTTTAGTCACAGAAAGAAAATCCTATTTGGGCATAGATGATGTAGCTACGTTTTATTACTACTACAAACATTTATATTATAAAAACATATATTCTTACCACCTTTAGTATGAAAATATGGTCGACAGCCACAGAACATTATCGCCATTTTATCGTAGCTGACACTTTTTTTATTAGTATCATTAATCTATCGTTTTTAACTTAAACTAAGTTGATTTAAGTCCGCCCAAATTTATGAAATCGAATTATAATTACAAAAGAAGCTTTTGGATATTTTTAGATTGATTACGTTTCTATTATACGTATAAATAATTAAATGGTTGTTAAATGTTAAAAATGACAAATATAAGATGGCGCACGTTTAAAAATTTTGCATCTATTTTCACTCATAAAAATAGATTAAAAAAACTAACCGAGAGATTTGCAAAGCAAAACACAATTTGTATTCTGTGTGGGCGAACTGAGACTTTGAGTTATTGTTAAAAACGTTTATTATATTTAAAATCCTTATATAGCCATGTTTAAATAACCCGCAAATTGCTTGAGGTTTAAATCAAATCAAAAAACAAAATTTTCAAGTAGGTAACAATAACTGAATTCAAGTTAAATTATTAAATTTACATTTATACCATTCAAGTAAGGGCAAGGGGTAAGAAGAACTGCAAGAAATTTCCCCACTCTTTTTAATCGCAAGTATTGTCATACAAATTGTTTGAATGAGAATTCAATCCCAAGATTAGGATCATTTAAGTAGTCCTCAAATTTATAAAAAGTTTGTTGATTAATTTTCGTTTAAGAGGGCTTTGAATTTATTTAGTGATAATTTCTAATTTCGTTGGGAGTTGTTGTAAAAAAATAAATTTCATATAAGGAGTGGTTTATCTTTTGAGCCTGGTTGGTCGTACACTCAAATTAGTTCTATTTCCGTATTATATGGTGAAAGTCACCATTGTTTTAAAATTTTATATTTTGGATACAAAAGGTTCAAAAATTTACAATAGTGTCATAATATTTAATTCCTTAAATTATTCTAATCCCAGAAAACAAAATCCGAAAGCCTTCTCACACAAATAGATTGAACCTCTGCAGCAACCCACATAAAATCTACAAAACTATGAAAGTAGCTATGGTACACAATTTTACCGTTCCTATCAGTAAACTGTCGGATTTTCTTTATGCATATGCTGCAGAGCTCAGCCTATTCGAAAGAGTCTCTATTGTGGGGTCTAAATCTTAATGCGGCATAGGACGGTTCTGTATATGTTACAATTTACCGTTTTTTTTTGTTAAATATAACATATGGTGCTCTGTCGAATCTTTTATTTTTCGCTTTTTCTCCTTTAGGCCCTTTCTTCTTTAACCACTTCCTTAAAAACAAAATTATCACTAACATTTCAAAAATCACATTACGAGTACATACATATACTAAACATCTCAAACAATATCTCGTTAACTTGTCATATTCTGATACTGAAAACATTCTTATTGACCTAATTAGTTTAAATATAAACGAGTAGAAATCATTAATATAAAATACTGTTTACATGTCAAAAGGAAGAGACTGGCTGCCCACAACACACAGGGAATCCTAGTGTGGGAGCCAGTGCACTTTACTTAATCCAAACATTTTGTATATTGTGTATAATAAAGATTTTTCTTTCTTTCTTTCTTACTTACTTAATTGTTAGTATAAAGTTCTAAGTTATTAAAAGTATATTTAAATCCTTTCAGAGAAGAAGATGCGCTATCACACTGCCAGAATGCTCCCTCTTCGGGAGGTCCACCTCCACGGGAGTACTCCTTGCTTCTCTGCTGTTTTAAGGATCTCTGCAATCACGAAGACAGCCCGCTGGCCAGAGCGCGACTTAATTTAACCGCCACTGATTCAGGTATGGAAAAATAGTTTAGTTATAGAATAAAACATTTCCTCTAAATCCCCTGGGTAGGACTTCGATATGTTTCTGTGACTGATGAAGATGGACTTTAAAGACACTTATATGGAAAGGACCAAGGGGAAGAAGGAGAAGAGGGCCTAGAAAAAGGGTGGATAGAAGATATAGAAACGATAGCAGAAAGCCATGGAAGCCTAAGAGATATTTGTAAAAAATTGCCTTTACCGATGAAGAGAGTACATTGAATATTACTGAAGTTAGGATAACGTGTAACAATAAAAAGATATATTGTTAACATTTGTAAAGTTTAGAAGTAAACAGGCTTTATTATTATTATAAGTAGGTCAGCCTTCTGTGCCTGACACACATAATCGACTCTTTGGGTTAAAGGCATGCCGGTTTTGTCACGTTTTTCTTACTGTCAGACACAGCGGGTTAGTAATCTACTTGTCTATAAGATAAACAACGTAGATCAGAGGCAAGACCCAAGTGGGCTTACGCCGCTGGCTAATTATTGTAAATATAAATTTGAAAGGCCGGCAACGCACTTGCGAGCCTTCTGGCAATGTGAGTGTCTATGGGCGGCGGTATCACTTAACATCAGGTGAGCCTCCTGCGGGTTTGCCTCCTATTACATAAGAAAAAAAATATATATATAGTTATAATAGTAAAAAAAAATATATATAGTTACTATTTTACTTGAGATTAGACTACTCGATCAAACTTTACTTTTATAGCTTTTAACCGACTGCAAAAAAGGTTATCAGTTTGACCTATATATTATATGCTTGGAATTTTGTCTGATTATGCTCTTAGGCCATCCAAGTGCTAGATTTCCACAAACTATAATTCGTGATCATCCTTTTATTTGAACCAGGTTTTACTTAAAGATAAAACTTTATATGACGGTATTAAAGTTTACGTTGGCTGAATTATGTTCCCACATCTTACGCGTATGTTCAATGATATATGTCTGTTTTTCCTCGAACAAAGATATTATTGTAGCGGTTCCCTTATCTAATGTAAACTGTGACTCAGGCGATGTGACATGAATATCTAAGCATTTTACATAATATATAAAATATTTCCGCAACTTCGCTTCCTTTGTGTTATTAATGTAAAATATCACAGTGTTTGTAAGAAAACTCCTCCGAAATGGCGTTACCCATTAGTATGATTTTTTCCATTTGCAATTGATTTGCCATTCAAAAAAATATTATAACTCACTTTATTTTATTTATTTATTCTTATAGCTAACATAAATTCAAATATTTACGAGAGTAAAAAATAATTAAATAAATTTAACTAATACCTTACAGCTGTGTTGTGTGACGGTGTGAAAGTGAGTGTATGTACGTGGGGATGTGTATGTGGGGTGTGCTCATGGTGCAGGTGATTTAGCGCTTTAGATATTCTTAATACTCCTTTTAAGCATATTTCGCGATAGCTCAAGGCTTAAATGTCCGTGCTTATAAACTAAATTAAAATAAATTCCCTACGGAATAATATTATTAGTAAGTTCTACTAGTAAACATACAGAGGACGAAACGATTTTGTTATAGTAATTTCAAATTCAAATCACGGACTAGATTTATTACTCAGGTCGAATTATGTGCTAGTAATACACTTATGTTGATATTTATAAAGTCGGATTATTTAACCACAAGCCACGATACTTTATAATGTAATTAAACAAGAAGTTTGCACCCCACATGCTGTTAAATTACTGGCTCATAAATGTCCGTTTGCTTTTGCGACACCAACATTATACAATATTAGATATAACCTGAAATTGTTAAATTTCTTGTTACCTTGATATTTAAAGACACGAAAGGAACGAGCCATGTAAAGGATTAGCAGAAATTAATTTGAATAGTGCAATTATTATGCGAATGATAGCTTATTAAGAATGCAATTCTTGCATTCGATATAATAATTTTGTTCCGGCTAACGCACTCATGATAGCGATACTTTCTTGGAACCTTATTGTGTCTACATAGTAACAGTGTCCTATTTCCGATTTCTATTGTATTATGATTTCCTGTACCTTGAAATCCTGCGCAATACCATCTCTGCAATTTTTTTATTCATATTTAGAGGAAAAATTGTATTTCTGTTATCTATTTCAAAAATTGGCATCAGGCTTCTACTTCCCTTCAAAGGCTTTATTGATTTCCAACATATCTGGGACAGGCCCGCTCTATTTGTATGTATTGAACCTATTTCAAAAATCATACAGTTACATCCGTTTCAAAGGCTTCATTAATTTGCAAAATAGTCGGCACATATATTTCTACTTATATATTTCTCTGTTTTTCAAATGAATGTTTTCATTTCATCCGTTTTATATACATTCAAAATAAAGAAATGATTTTGTCAAGAATTTTGTATTTATCGTTCTCATATCGCTTCCGTGTTGATAACATTGTTAAAAATAACAACCTTTGTGTGATATTTGTTAACGTTCTTGACTTTTGACTTTATATCAGTGCAAAATTGGGTTCGAAGTTCATTCTGATTGTGTATCAAGAAAAAGTCACTGCGTCTCAGTTATACATTTCTCGAATATTTTTAAATAGTTCGATTTGTCATCTGAATGAATACATCCCATTTCTATTGTGAAAATATAATTGGGATGTATTAATGCTTATATTTATTATTAAAATAATAATAAATCGTTTATTTGCAAAGAAAGTACATTCAGTTTGACTAATTAAAAAAACACACAGTTATCCATATAAAAATAGGCATGCAAATGTCATGTTAATTATCATAATAATAAGAACATTTAAATTATTTATACACGTAATTTTTGTCAAAACGTATGGTCTAAATACTCTCCCACATTTTCTCTCTGAAGCAGGTTTGTGAAAGGAAATGTCCACTACACTCTTAATTCGTAATCATTATTTAATTGTTATCCAATGGGTTAACGAAGGTACTAATCAAATCAATTTTCAGAAGGTAACGCGGTTGCGAGCGAAAGAGGCGCCAGTTACAACGGTGAGGTGTGGTTCAAAGCAGCGACCATAGCGGTGCCTGTTTGTGGGGCTCTCATACTATTCCTTCTGGTGGCTGTAGCCGTCAGGTTACTGAGGGCTGACGCGCTTCTACACGCTGATAGAAAACTTAGGTATGTTTTGAATGATACATATATCCAGATCAAAGAATCTCCATTTAAAGGTCTCTCCGTAAAAAATATAAAAATTTGAGAGGTGAGAATGTGAAGCAAAAGCCAGGACGAATCCTTTTGTTTCCTATAGACAAATGAATATCATTATGACGCATTATATATCGGGTCAACGGGTGTTGTTTTTTGTGTTGCATTGTCACCCCCCTGGTTCGTAAGATAGATGTATACACGTATACATTATTCCTACTATATTAGTTTGACAGTCGTCAGTTTGTTAGCTAATAATGATTTTACTTTTAACTTTATTAATTATTTTAAGGCTTACAAATAAAAAATATATAATTCTCAAAGCACATTGATTGTGAATATAAATATAATGAGCAAATACTTTTGGAAAGTTGGCAGATCACTTACTGAATGAATTGCGTTACAGAACTTTCAGCTTCATAAAAGTTTATTATAACAAACCAGGCTTACTACACCGTTTAACTAAACTCATCTGTCCCTTTTCACCAAAGCGTAAACACAATATGCAAGAAAAGCGTACATATCTAATCATATCAAATATTTTTCCAGAGGTGGGTACATAACACCACCGCAGCACAGCACAGAAGACGTCAAGAAAGTGTGGGTGGGGAACTCCGCGCCGCTCCTAGTCGCTCCCGGGGGATGCTTGGTCGCCGTTGAGCGGGCACAACTAGTCGACGTGCCACAACTCTGTGATATTCAACGATAGACTGTAATGAAATCTCTCTGCCGGTGGAAATGACGCTGAGAAGTTTGACAAAGCTAATTAATCTCTAGATTCCGACCCTCAGTTTATAGATAGTGGAACCCTTCATAAAAATAATTGTCGTTGCATAAAATTGTCAAGGCTCGTGCATAGTCACGTGACCGTTTCCTTAAACGTTCATCGATAATGGGGGACTCTTGACTAAAATAATTGTCGTTGCATAAAATTGTGAAATCACGTGTATAGGCACGTGACCATTTCCATAAAAGGAGATCGATAATGGGGGACTCTTGACTAAAATAATTGTCGTTGCATAAAATTGTCAAGGCTTATGCATGGACACGTGACCGTTTCCATAAAAGTTTATTGATAAGGGGGGACTCTTGTCAAAAATAATTGTCGTTGCATAAAATTGTAAAGGCTCATGCTTGGTCACATGATCAACTCTATACAGATTGGCCAATGTGACTATAAGTATTAATCAATGCTTTAATCCCTGCTAAAAAAATAGAAAAATCTTGTATTCAAATATTGTCCATATATGTTCCAAATATGCTGCCCTCAGAGCGCTACTCAAGTTTTGCATACAATAATCTGTTTACTCTTCTATTACGTCAAAAACCGACAATCACGTGACGAAGCGTGAGACAATACAAATTCGTTAATGGGTCGCCTTTTACTTAACGTTCAAAAATTACCCGTCTGTATTAATTTTGGATCTAATTAAATTGATCTCATAGTGACGTCATTTCACACCGGCTCGTATACCAAATCTACCAATGTATATTTTGTTATTTTAAGCTATTTGTTCCTTGTAAATGTAAAGTAGTTTTAAGAAATTTTGATGGATTTACATTATCGAATTTTACTGTCCATTGCGAGGTTACTATGACATTGACATTTGACCATTTGTGAAGTCCAAACAAGTAATAAAAAAAGGGTGCGTGTACTTATGTACGCGCGTAAGAAGTTATACTTCTTTGGCATTATTAAAAATAGTTTTTGATTGCATGCAAATAATTAATTACAATTAAATAATCAGAGACTGGAAAAGGAGTCATTAAATCGTCAATAAAGTCAGTCAGTAAATAAAATTCAGTTTACATTTGAAAAATTAAATAAATAAATATTTATTACTATTCTCTTACATTACGTGTAACTTAACATCATGTTTTTAAATTATGTCCAATGCCGTAGCATCTTCCGTGGGCAACTTCATTCTGTTATTTTTGTGTCACGGTGCGCGCGCATCGTAAAATTTCACTCTCATCAATTTTTCATAACGCGCCTAAAGAAGTATAACTTCAAAAACTCTCTTTGACTTTCATGAATCTTATATTAACCTCGATTTGAAAATCATTAAATAACGTCCAATTGATTTGACACAAAAATTATGAATTATTGCGTTTCTTGTGCTGTATTTAAAACATTTAACATTTATTTAATGGTTAGAAACAATATTACTTGATAGAGCCACAATTCAAAATAATAAATCTTTTAAAACATCCAGTTATTGAAAGGATTGCTTATACTTTATTCTATAACTTCTTACTAAAATCTAGTTCTAAACTGTTAGACCAATTTTTTCTGTTTTAAGTTAAACAAATCTTAACGCGGTTTCAAAAAACTTAACACGTATTAGCAATTCATAATCAAGGAAATCATTTTATTTGTAATCAGAGACTTGATCGCTTAAAAGTCAAAGTCAAATCATTTATTTTAATAAGGCCTATTAAAAAGGCACTTTTGAAAGTCAAAATTACCAGTTAATAATATTTTAAAAATTGACTCTAGCTGTCCCATACTTACTCTTTTAAAATAGTTTTTACAATATTTTATATATATTGACTTGATAATTATATATAAAGACTAGAAGCTTTACCTTTCAAAAACTGGACTATAGATATTATATCTGACATATAACTAGTCGTAATATACGGTTTATCACAAAGTACCGTCAGAATATGTAAATAAATAATACTTTAAATAGAGATCAAATTATATATTTCTGTAAAAATATGTTTAAGTGAGATTAACGCTAAAATAATTCTGCAATTAAATATACAAGCAAGCGCGTATATAAAATAAATGTATGTTTAATTATGTAGCTTATGCTAAAGCAGAGTTGGCCGTACTGGCTTCAGCGTGCGACTCTCATACCTGAGGTCGTAGGTTCGATACCCTACTGTGCACCAATGGACATTTTGTTTCTGTGCGCATTTAACACACGGTGAAGGAGAACATCGTGCAGAATACATAAAGACGGCGTGTGTCAGGCACAGTAGATTGACAAATGATTATCAAACAGATTATGTGGGAAAAATCTTAACCGACCCAGAAATATTAATAATCAAAAGTGGAAGAAAACTAAAATTAAAAAGTTTGGTCCCTGAGGCTGTGAAACGCTGGCAGCATTTCCTCGCTGTATTGCGATACAAATTAGTTGAGTGAGGAAAACACCAGCTCTGGGGTCACCGGTACTATCTACCAACTTAAATCTTTAATTAGCGCCTGTGCACTTGAACCCCAAGACGCAAAAGTACAGAATCAAAGTTCAAGGAAAGAAGTTATTGCTGTGGATTATTCTTTGTCAGCTTTGGCAGCTTTTAAGTGACATCAAATACATTCGGTATGAAATATAATATAATGTATTAATTATATATTGTAGTGTAAGTGTATATATAATTGTATAATGTATTAATCTCACTTATACATAGTTAAGCTCGATTTAGATGGAGAGAGTTTTGTTTTATTCTTAATCAATTTGTTTTAAAAGTAACATGTCATGCGGCATTAATAGAAATATATATTTGAATGTAAACTTTTAAACTTGACAATATCATTATATTTTTTAAACTTTCTCTATATAAATAGCGCTTTAATGTCATTTTAGACTGCGTCGGTATTCTGTTACTTCCAAATGCGATTTTGAGTGCAATATCGATTCAATTCTATAAAGCAGTGGCTTGGGATCGCGTGGTAACTTACCTCGATTTAAGTCGGGATTGCTTTATTGGGAGTTATAGAGTACCAATGCTGAATGTGGTAAAGATAAGCACTTGTGTAAGTCGTTTGTATATTCGTTAACCAGTTGTAATGAACACTAAGCTTCCCTGAGGTGCCTTATAATATAGGTGCAAAATACTCTTGTAAATATGATGTATAAATATTGAAAATAAATCGAAATTATTTTATTAATATGTGTTTTTTTGCGTTACCTTTAAAATTAATATTTAAGGTTTATAGATAATCCCCGTCTCCATTGAAGTACTCATTTGTCCCTTTTTATCACAGCGTAATAACAATTTGACAGAAAGAAACGAAAGAATACTTCAGTTAAGAAGTGTTGGTCACTAGGCTTTATCGTGAAAATCTCATCCCTGAGTTCGAATCGATCCCTGGCCGTCCACCAATGGTTGTTCTACTCTACTCACTCGTAGAGTGAAGGAAAACGTGAAGAAACCGGCATGTCTCAAATCCAACACCCAAATACTTGTCAGACAGCTGATCACCTACTTGTATATTAAATAAAAATGATCAAAGAAACGGATGCAATCTGAAAACCCATTTGTGGTTGTAGCCATTTGATCATTATTTTTACTTCAGTTATTATAGTGCAATTAGACTAATTTAGTGCATAGGGAGTATTCTATAACTACAATTACATGAGCAAGGAATTTTGATTCGTTTACACTTCGTTACTTTATACAACAACATACCTACATAAAAAAATTTTTACACTATGTCAAGGTCTGTGTATCACCTCGACGTCCGCCGTTCCACAACTGAGCGTTTTTCACTTTTGCCGCGCACCACCACTATGTGGAATCAGCTGCCCACTGAAGTATTTCCGAACCAATTCGACTTAGGGTCCTTCAAGAAAAGAGCGTACCAATTCTTAAAAGGCCGGCAACGCACTCGCGAGCCCTCTGGCATTGAGAGTGTCTATGGGCGGCGGTATCACTTAACATCAGGTGAGCCTCCTGCCCGTTTGCCCCCCGTTCTATAAAAAAAAAAACCTGAAAGTTAACGAACAACCAAAAACATACTAATTTTATTAATTATGTAGTATGAAAAGGATATCCTGTTATTAGTATTACAAATAAAACCATTTCATTATTGAGTCATTGATGGCTTTGATTGAATCGAAATGTGATACTTATAAAACAACTTTCCCCAGACGCAAAATATTGAAACTATACACGTATATAATTAAGTAATGTATCGTTTGCATATTTAACAACCAGGTTGATTGCCCCAAGCTTTTATTAAAAATTTAAATTTCGATAGATACCCCAGGCATACCCCAACATTCCATTTGTCCCTTTCCGAAGAACGCGTCTTGAGCGGGAGTGGTTTGTTCAGTAGGATTGTATAATCTATTAAAATAATAATTTTATTTATTTAAACACTTCGTTGCATGTACAGAAATGGGGTTGGGGTTAAATAAATGAATATAATTATCTAGGATGTCGGGGATTCATTGGAAATCAAGTGAGTTTTGCTCCGAAACGCGTCTAAATATTTTTATAAAAATTTAAAGTTTTGTGTAATGTATTAAAATTTGTAAACAATCGCCATTTTCTACTTTTCTTTGGTTATAAGTGATGTGACGTTCACTTAAAAAATCGTGTTTTTAATTTATCGATTGTTAATAATCGTTTTATATTTATCGATTATTTCTCATTGAAATTTAAAGTTATAGAATAATCAAATTGAAATTAACCTAATTTCGTGTTGATAGATTATAGGGTTCCGAAATTTTTGAAATTATCGATATACTCGTCTGTATTTTCTAATTAGTACTGTATTTCATTGTTTGCAACTTTCTAATTATTAATTTTACAGAATAAAGTGTTTACTTTAATATCCAAAAAGTACCCAAACCGAATCAGAGCACCCCACTATCCACTGGTCTTGTCTGTCTTACCCCTAGAGTGTATATAAATAATCGGAGGCGCGAGGAAGAGCAGCCCCCACCCCTAAAAAGCCAGGCATTATGAAAGCTGTAGCGGCTGAGGCTGGTCCCGAAGGCGACCAAAAGCCAGGTTCGGAGGTGAATAAATGCCTGTGCTTTGGTACGCAAGGGTGGAGGGGCTGCATTTCCCTAGGCCGGAGTGTCCACAAAAACAAATATTATTAGATTGGTTAGGTTAGAGTTAGTATATGAATATTTGGTCGCAAGGGACAGGACAGAAGCGAGGTGAATAAAAATTATATTTAGATCGGAGTGTCCACAAAAAAATATTATTTAGATTGGTTAGGTTAGAGTTAGTATATGAATATTTGTCGCCGAAGGCACCAGGAAGAAAGGCTTGAATAAAAATTATATTTAGATCGGAGTGTCAAAAAAAAATATTATTTAGATTGGTTAGGTTAGAGTTAGTATATGAATATTTGGTGCAAGGCACAGGACCAGAAGCGAGGCTTGAATAATATATAGATCGGAGTGTCAAAAAAAAATATTATTTAGATTGGTTAGGTTAGAGTTAGTATATGAATATTTTCGCGAAGGCAGGACCAGAAGCAGGCTGAATAAAAATATATTTAGATCGAGTGTCACAAAAAAAATATTATTTAGATTGGTTAGGTTAGAGTTAGTATATGAATATTTGGTCGCCGAATTTTCAATTATTTTAATATAAATAAAAAAATGATTTTCATTTTAAAAATCATTATTTTTATCTATAATTATAAAAATGGCATTTGAATTGGTTTATGTAGACTAGCGGTAATTAGTTTTACAGTGCAAAGTTTACTTATAAATCTTATAAAATTTTGAGCGTTTGAAAAATACTTGGAGGTGTTCAATGAAGGTCCTCAGACAAAAATTAGTATCTCAAAAAAGTGCGATGGTATTCAAAACTGTTACCCAGAAATGTAATACAATTGACATAATTATATGACAAGGCGGGCAAATGGCGGCCCTATCGAACGATCTCTTTCAGGCTGTAGGAAAAAAAATTAGATAACGTAAACAAGAAGCTCGTAATTAGCTCTGCTTATATATTTATTATTATTGTTATTTTTTCTTTAGATTTTACTTTATTTTATTTTAGTTATAGTAACGTGTTTTTTTTTTTTAATATTTTTGCATTTCTTTTATTCTACCCTCTGTAGGTGTTTCTTTTTCACTGTCCCACGTTAGGGTTGCCTGGGTTGCCTTATAACTTTTGTAACCTGCTTTTTTATTTTTGTTATCTGTATGTTTATGAATAAGGTAATAAAGTATAAATAAATAAATAAGAAGTGCAAAAATACATAAGACAACACTAATAGAACAAAGCAATTAAAACATGTAACTAGTGATCAGAGTGAGGACAATATTCAAAAAGGGACACATGAAAAAAAAAGCGTTAAAGTACATACAAAAAGTACTTTAACACTTTTTTATCGTAGGTATCCCTAACTGATGTATGTAGGTACGATAATTTTATACAGCTAAAGAGTTTGTTGGATGCGTCCGCATTTACAAGTGAAACCGCGTGGTTCAACTATTAAATCTAGTTTATGAGATCTTTATCACAGTTTCCTCAAACAAATCGCGTTGACAACTTTTATAATTACCAATAATATTTTTATTGGATTATTAAAATTATTTTTAGTATAAGATCATATATTTGATAAGAATTTGAAAACATATAAATATGATAAATACTAAGCAGCTTCAGTTTCGTTTTAAGTGTATATGAATAAAGAGGTAAGCATTCTATTTATCAACGTACTATAAACCTAAATTAGTTAATCTTTTGTCACGTTATTTTCATAGTGAAAGCTGATGGACTTCCATAGCTATAGTTCATGAATTAAAATAAAATTTTAACTTCACTATTTCTCAAAAAATATAAAGTTAACTTTGTGTTTATAATAATAATTTATTTAAAAGAATATGGTACAAAAATATTATAGTGGTACAGTGTAAACTTTGCAAATTCTGCCACATATATGGTGCATTTTTGTCTTAAATGGTAGAATTTTACATAGAACTTACATAAAACATTACATTATGACTCATTATTAGTTTAAAATAACAATAAAATATGTTATGGAATATTAGAAGTAGCCTGTCTAGCACTAGTCCCAGGCCCTTTTATCAACTACATAATCGTTAACTTTATAGTAAGACTTTTTACACAGCTTTTTTTAACACATTTCTTAAATTTATTAAATGGCAGAGATAAAATAGCCTCTCGGATTTTATTAAAGAAGAGATCCCTTTTCCCACAAAAGAATTAGGTACTTACTCTAGATAGTCTAGTACGGGGAAATTGCAGCCTGTGTTTGTTCCGACTAACATTGTGCGTATGTTCTATTCTAGTAAACTTCTTAATATTTTTGTATACATACATAATATTTTTATAAATATATTGCAAGGGTAATATAATGTAAGTATATTAATTTCCTTGAATTTATCTCTCAGAGATTCCCTACATTTTAAATTTAAAGTTAATTCTTATTTTTTTATGACATCATCATATTATTAAAAAATATCAAATTAATATTCCATTATAAAAACCAACAGCAATGATTGTCGATGAAAAACAAAACAATCTAAATTTTCTTTTGTTTATATTGCATTTATCATCAGAGTTCCTAAAATTATTAAACATGAATCAATACTAAACATTCCATTGATGTCGTAATAACAGCAATATTTACAATTACTACCCATTGGAAGTAAACAAACTATATATTTCCATAATTACCACAGGGTGGCCTTGTTCAAATCAATAATATTTCTAGAGCAATAAATAATTATACATTTATTAGAACTAATGTCAGACTGCGTAATTAAGTCTAACAAAAATTATTACGAATAATTATGGACTGGACTTTTTGGCTAAAATTGGGTGTCGTATATTTTAATAGTTACACAATTAAAAAGAGCCTACTTGCTAAGAAGTTTTTGAGGAGTTGTTCGGTTGAATACCCGCAGCTAAGTTTCATCATCGGTCGTTGAAGCAGAACACGAAATTCCACCTGTATCACCACGAGGTGCGCTGTTACAAAACTGAGTATTTTTCAGGCAATTTCTGCCTCGTACCACCACTATATGGGACCTGCCTGCCACTGAAGTACAAATTTCCGAACCAATTCGATGTAGGGTCCTTTAGGAAAAGAGCCTACCAATTCTTAAAATGCCGGCAACACACTCCCGATCACTTTGGCATCGAGTGCGATAGGCGGCCCGTTTGCATCCTGTTGCATTACAAAAAAGAAACGATAAAATCGTTGAAATGGAATAGTAACAATACATTTTGTATGAATGACTTTTAAATTGTTACCGTAAGCAAAAAGACAAATAATTGAAATATCGAGCTTAGAAGCTCATAGTCTATATATACGGACTATAGTCCATTGTTTAATTAAAATTATCGCAAGAATATTATACCTTACCCGTTGTGGTATTTATTTAATAAAGTTCACAACATCATATATAATATCTACGGTATATGTGTAACATCTATCTTTTCTACAATATATTACAACTATGGTAAACATAAATGTTATCAGAAATTTAAAAGTAACGGATTAGGTATCGGATAGGCACTTAACAATGCTTTATTTTTATTTGATCAGCCCACTTCTGAATGTATTTAGCTCTGGATAAGTAGAGTTTAATCGTGAAGAATTCTGCTAATATGGTAACGAAATTCAAATGTACACGCGTTTTTTAATTATTTTATATACAAATTTTATAATTTCCTATCTATGGCACAGATTATAAGTAAATTTAATAAGTATTTATTATTTCTAACCTCGCGATTGATTAATACTGTAATAATTGTTACACACACTATCAAGAACTCAATGTTTTGTCTCGTTTATTTATTTTGAATGTGATACGAGAGTAAGAAGGAGAAAAATAGCAATTTTCAGTACGTTTCTGAATGAGGGTAAGAATATAAAACCGACGCCACGCAATGAACGTTGCTTGTAAAGTCTGCAGTGATCCTAGATGCCCATTTTCACGGCTTAGTTAATTTCTACTGATCAAATAATTCTTGGACTAGGTAACTTTTGGCTTCTTCAGCCTTATTGGTTCTCTTTTCTAATTTAGTATATGTGTACACGTTTGTGAAACAACAAAATGAACATCCTTATTCAAAATACTGTAACTATAAGTCGACATTTTTATGTCAGTTTTTAAACCCTCCTAAAAAAGAGACAATTCGAGTATATATTTTTTCCATTAAAACCCAAAATTAGTTTAAGTTTAGGAAAAACTACATAGATTTCCACAAGAAAACATTTCGTTTAGATTCGTTAGATATATAAATATATGCATTTTTTTGCAGCCAAAATGACCAACGCAACTAATGAAACAAGTGGAAAGGTTTTGAATTTCGATCACCTCACATTTTGGGTGGCAAATGCTAAAACGGTAAAAAGTTATATATTTTCTATGCTATCTCAAAAGCTTCGGTCAGGCATTGGTAGTAAATTTTTGTGACTGTGCCTGCCAATGTTAATTGCGCAAATAATAATCTATACATATTTGCTATAAAATTGTTGCAGGCGTCAACTTATTTTGTAACGCGCTTCGGTTTCAAACCTTTCGCTGTTCGAGAGGCCTCTGAAGATAATCCCATTCAGTCCTATGTGGTTCAATTAAATAAGGTAATGTTACATCAACCTTATTTATATAATTATATAAAAGCTTTCTGGTTTGATAAGAGAACAGTCTAGTTCGGCCTTCAAAATTGGCAAAATATGTTATTACAATGATCTATCTTTGAATGAACGTACTTTTGGAGCTGCTATATCGCAATTTCGTTATTTTTTAAATCAGTTTTCGCAGTTATCATGATGTATAATAATTTGTTAATTTAATTTAAATTGTTTAAATCCACACTTATATGTTTATTTTTTGGTGATTTTTGAGACTTTGTTAGGATAATGCAAGGTGCATAAGTACATTTAAATCACAATAGATCACGCTTCATCTATAGGTCACTTTCCAGCGAAGAGTCGAAAGAACCATAAAGCTGTGAGCAAGCGGGGAATGGGAGCGTTTGAAGCTGGACGGTGCGAGCCGAATACTCGAATAATATAAATTTAATCCATAAAACTTTGTGTTAGATATTATAAGCTAGTATAATATAATGATTATATTATTTCAATTCCAGATAACAATAATATTTCAATCACCGACATCAACTGAAGGTGTGATCACATTGGACCTCACCGCTCATGGCGATTTTGTTAAGGATGTCGCATTCAAAGTTAATAATCTAGAGGAAATTATAAAAAGAGCAGCCAAAGAAGGCGCTATTATTGTTAAAGGCGTGACCGAAGAATGCGATGAAAATGGTGTCGTTAAGTTCGCTGTTCTAAAAACGGTATAATATGTTTGCTAATTAATTAGTATGCCCTACAACCTTTTTAGTTCATACAATAATTTGATAATCTAATAAGCAAGTAGGTGATCAGCCTCCTGTGCCTGACACACGCCGTAGACTTTTTGAATCTAAGGCAAGCCGGTTTCCTCACGATGTTTTCCTTCACCGTTTGAGCGAATGTTAAATGTGCACATAGACACAAAGCCCATTGGTACCCCGGGGCACGAACCTTTGACCTCATGAGAGTCGAACTCTGAAGCCACTAGGCAAATACTGCACATTAATAAATAGACTACAATTTTTTGTTTGTTTGTGCTTTTTCTTGAGAGTCTTGAGGAGGTTTTCATTTAGTATACTAATGTTTAAGAGCAGTGAATTTTATTCAAAGAGACATAAAAAAATACTCTACATTGGCAACATATCATTCTATTTTATGTATGTCATCATTATTTTTCAGTACGGTGACAATACACACACTTTGATAGATAAGTCGCAGTACAAAGGAAGATTTCTGCCGGGATACACGATTATCGAAGACGTTGATATTGTCAATAAGCTTTTGTAAGTAAAACACTTCGTTACATAATAATACCAGTGATTTTGTTCCCTTTGGTGTAGAGACTCTTGGGCCGTGGGGTTCAAGTGCACAGATTACAGATTTAGTTGGCGCCTGGTAGATACTACCGGTGACCTTAGAGCTTTCCTCGCTCAACGAATACGAACACTACGACAGGGACGAAACTTTTGAAATTTACTTACCAAATTACTATATACGTTAAGAATATAGTAAATACTGTATATTTGTGTGTTGGAAATAAACATCATAAATAAATTTATACAAGTGATTTGGTATCACATATACATGTAAAGGAAACTGGTAATTTCATCGGAAATAATCTCCAAGATAATGAAGACTATAGAAATGTGCAAATCTGAATACAAAATACAGTTCTAACAACATTGTTCGTTAACAACCACCACGCAAAAAAATATAAGTTATTAAAATTTGTTTAAAAATTTTCATCTCCAAATATTTTCTATAGGATTCAATTGATTAATATTTCCATAAGATATATACATTTTTTATATGTCAATATGTATTTAGGCCGGACACTCATCTTGAATTCATAGACCACGTGGAAGGAAACATGGAAGATGGGACTCTAGAAGATTCTATCACGTGGTATGAAAAGAACCTCAATATGCACAGGTATATATATATTTTGTACCTTCCACTAATATGAATAATACTTACATAATGAATCTACCTTTAGTGGCCTTGTCAGTTATAGAATTTTTAATAGACACCAAATTCAGTAAGGCTAGGCTTTGTACAAACTGCCGACCATGGACTCCCAGCGCCGATTAACAAACATAATAATTCCAATAATTAACATTATAATTGCTAAATTTCATATATTCAATCTTGGATTGGTCTTATAGTACGATTAGTTGTTTTTATTTGTCTATTCATATTTTTGTATTTATTTTTTAAATTTTATGTAAATTAATACGTATTTCAGTATGGCCCTCTAAAAAACTCGGGTAAAACTCCATAGGTTTTTTGCTGCCAAATATTAAAGTTTTTTTTCTTATGTTACCTTATATTATATACAATAAATGTGGTAGGGAAGATACAGTACATTAGAATTCAACGCGCCACAAACGTAAGATATTATAAAAATTTACATGTTTTTTTTATGTTCTAGATTGTAACAAAAATGCGTTATGTATATATTATACTCGTATAACGCAACGCACAACTATATTTCTGTCATTTATTATTATAACTAAGTATGTTATTTTATGAAAAAGTAATATTGTTTTTTTATTTTCAACTTAAACATTCATGTTCCTGTTTCCATACATATTTTATTATTATCTACTAATTATTTTAGATTCTGGTGTGTTGATTATACCCATGACTTGGTTCCCTACTCATGTATCAACTCGGCATCTGTTATCAACGAGTCAGAGACTGTGCTTGTAAGTAAAATATAATACAATAAAAAAATTAAAACCACCTTCGTATGCAAATCTACTAAAACTATTTAGGAACAAATTATTTAAATATTCTCCAAAAATGCGTAATACCATCTCATACATTGTTCTATAAGTTATAAACTACCTCTTGTAACCAAAAAGATTCTGATGTGAATTTTAGTTTCCGAAATGATGTGGACAAAAATACGAAATCACACATATATATCACACGTGTTTGGAAACTCAAACACAAAATAACATTATTCATATAGGTAAGCAAGTACACAAACGTCAACAGAAAAGAAGTTAAATTGATTCTAAATTTACATTTACTACCAATTCGCAAGTCAAGTATGTAGAGTGGGCAAGTAGAACTGGCAATAAACTCTCCGCCACTCTTTTATAATCGCCAAGTTTTGAGTCATACAAATTGTTTATAAGGCAGCAACCATAAATATTAAAACTGGAACAAATAAATCCCTAGGATTAGGATCATTTAAATAATCGTCAAATTTAAAAAAAGCTTTATTATTGATTGATTAACAAGGGAGTTTGTTTGTTGTAAAAACGAATACAATTTCCATATACGGAAAGGTTTATCTTCTGGAGAAAGTCACCATTTGTTTTAAAATCTTTTATATTTTTGTGTACATACTAAAAGGCTTTAAGAATAATTTGACCTGATAGTGTCACAATAAAAGGAATGGATAAATGGATGCCTTTATTCAATAGTCAAAAATTTCCGTTGCGTAATTTGGAAATACTCGCTGCCAATTTTTCTCAAATATAATGTTGCTATTACTAATAAAAAAATTCCTTAAACCTGTTTAATGGCTGACTACTGAGATATTCACTTTTATAATAAAATATTTGTATACAGCTATCTATGAATGAAGCGGCAAAGGGACTTCGTCCAATAAGCAAAGCCAGAGAATTCGTCAAAGCACACGGTACGTCCGGCGTTGAACACGTCGCTTTGTATACAGATGATATAATTACTACTGTGAGTATACCGGTATAAATTAATCTAGTATTCACATTAAACGACTTAATAGCAACCAATGAAATTTATACAATTCAAAAAAATATTGCTGAGCTGACTCTTAATAGATTTATTTAGAAAAACACATGCTAACAAACGTTGACGATTACTCGCTCTTACGAGTGATATTTTGAATATTATAAAGCCGGAATGACATTAAGAAATTAGTGGCATGAAATTAATTAATTCAGTTTAGTTTAATTACACGTAAAACTGTTAGTAAAACTAATGTCACGAAATTAATTTCATGCCACTAATTTCGTTATGTAATTCCGGCTTAATGAATCCATACAAAAATTGGTTAGTTAACATTTCTTAATATAAGTATTCGTTTTGTTGTAAGTTGTAAAAAAAAAATTTTTTTAGTATTGTACGGCTCCTTTTAGGGTAAAAGCCTCCTCCATATTTTTCAATTTTTCTTTCCTTCTCTCTGAATTTCCTGATTGCATTGTTCAGATCTAATTGTCTTGTTATGGATGACCATACGTTGAAAGTGCATAGTTTTAATTGTTGTGACATGGAGTGCCTTTTTTATTTTTATTATGGTCGTGATTGTTGTTTATTTTGATTATTACCAGAGATATCTATCTGACTTGCAAATAAGCCAAAAAAAGTCTTTTAATTGTCTTTGCTTTAGCTGTGGTCCTTCAACTGCGATGACTTCATAAGCTCTGTATCATTCTATCATTAACATCACTAGAGGAAATCGTACGTAATAATTGTTATCATACAATCAACGATTTCAGATGCGTAACCTCAAGGAGCGAGGTGCAGAAATAATAACATGGCCAGCGACTTATTATGACATGATCAAGGAGAAACTGAACAAGAGCTCTCTCAAAGTACAAGAAACAATTGACGATCTAAAAGAACAGAATGTTTTGATAGACTTCGACGAGCGCGGTTACATGCTGCAGGCGTTTACTAAACATGTTCAGGCGAGGCCTACTTTATTCTTGGAAATTATACAACGTAGAAACCATAGGGTAAGTAATACGCGGGTCAATAGATTGCTGTGAAGAGCAGTGACCGAAAATTTGATATATAAATTCATATTTATGTATCGAATTGCTTCATATCCATTTTTAATTTAGTTTACACTAGCTTTGGTTGTCCGCTAGGACGAACCTTAAAAACACAAATTAAAAACATTATGTTTTTTTCGTTTTTCTTTCTGCCATTGGGTCCAGATACTTTTTCCGCCACTTATATTGTTACTAAAAAGATACGTAAACAATAAAATCATGCTATTGCGAGAACCCTTCTTTCACCCGCCCTATTTAAAACAATATTTTTTTATACAATTTTACTGTTTTTTTTAAATATAATATATTTTCTAGCTAATCTCCCGACTATGTTGTCTTAGAAGGTATTAAATTAATTTTTAAAAATACGTTTATGTACAATTGGTAACCTGAATGATTAAACACTACTACCTATTTCTTTTAACAACTTTTTGTATAACTTCTACAGAAAATTCCAGAAAGATTAACTTAACCTATTGTTGATCATTATTTCTTTGGAGTTCGTCTCTGTTACTTTTATTCCCATTGCTTGTTTAGTGTTATATACATCGGACAGTCTAAAAACAGTAATTAAAAACATTGTTTACTTTCTGCATATTATGATCATTTATAAACTGCGTTCTTGCGAACTCAAGTAAACAATGTCTAGACTTATAGATTAATGATTACAATTATAGACTATAAATCAATTGTTAATTTATAAATGACATTTAATTAAGAGCGAGAGACTCGCCGACCACGATTGCTTTCGAGCACAACATTCGTAATATCCATTAGTTCTTTTAACGTTTAATTAGATTACCCAATTGTTAAACTGACTACGTATATAGTACAGAGACTACATCTTGGGTAACTAATCTTTAATAAGAGCGTCGCAGAGGGTAGGGGAAGCTTGGTTTATCATGCTTTATATTTTTTCTCACCTCGGAGTTGGCCCCCTGTATCCCATCGACAATTGAGTAGTCACAGCCATGCTTCTATTTTACGAGATGATTTTAGAGATTACGTTATGAGTAAGTAAAGTACCACTGATTTATTTTTATTTTTATGTTTCAGGGATTTGGTTCCATGAACTACAAATGGGTCTTTGAAGCAATTGAACAGATGAACGAAATGAAAACGGAGAGTTGAACTGTGACTTACAATGAGTTACGGCTTTTATTTTATTATTAATAGTTTATGCGATAAATTTTGAGTAAATTTTATCTAATAAAGTATTGACATAAAAATTATTGTTTTAATTAATCTTATGTAATAATCGCGTTATATTCTCGTATGTAAAATAATATTGTATGTTTACTATATTTATGCCTAGCAATAAGCAAAAATGACTAATTTTTTTAGAACAGGGGGCACACAGGCAGGAGGCTCACCTGATGTTAAGTTCCGCCCATGGACACTATCAATGTCAGAGGGCTCGCTAGTACGTTGTCGGCCTTTTAAGAACTGATACGCTTTTTTGATGGACTCCTTTTTTAATTTTTTTGTAACATTTATGTTTACCAAAATTGGCCTAGTGGCTTCAGCTTGCGACTCTCATCCCTGAGGTCGTAGGTTCGATCCCCTGCTGTGTACCTGTGTATTTCTATGTGCGCGTTTAACATTCGCTCGAACGGTGAAGGAAAACATCGTGAGAAAAACGGGTTGCATCTAATGCAAAAAAGTCGACGGCGTGCGTCAGCTGATCGGCTGATCACCTACTTGCCTATAAGTATTTTATTTTTTTAATTTAGTAATTTTTGTTTTTAGAAAAGATAGTTTGTTACATATACCATACATATAGTATGTACGTATACGATGTGTAAAGTTCAATAAATAAATAAATACCTTACAACACTTTATGGGTTGACAGCCTCAATATGAAGTAATATTAAATGTTTGTTAATGGTGAAGCTTTTGCTATTATATTTTAATATAAATTCTAAAACTTTTTATATTATAACGCCTGTCCCATGGTCATCATATTGCTTCATATACTTTTAAACTTAAACGTCAAAAACGTTTACGACGACATCGTTTAGAACAACATACCGGTTATATTGACCAAAATCAAAGCTCCCGGCTGGATTCTATTGTATTAATTAGGTTCTTAATAACAACGTCATCGGCTGTTAGGATTTTCGGTTTTTATGACCAAATATGAGTAGGCCCTTCGATTTCGTTATAACAGATTTTGACTATAGAAACTTCGTATGTTTGAAACGAATTAACTCAAAAATTACCAGAATGATTATGAACATTATTTTACCATTCTAAATCAAAGTCAAATCATTTATTTCAATTAGGCCTATTTAAGGCACTTTCGAAAGTCAATGTTACAAATTAAAAATATTAAAAATAATGACTCTAGTTTCCCTTCCAAAAGGTAGTTTCATATGGTAAAGAAGAAACTCAATACTACCTTAACCTTAATAATACCTTTCAAATAGTTTTTACAATATTTTGTATACATTGATTTGATAATTAAATCTGAAGACCATGTACCTAGAATAAAAAAACTACTATACTAAAATATATTTAAAGAAGAGGACAGGATAAGTATGGTCTCATGTCACATTATTATTATTATTTTTTTATTATTTATATTATTACTAAAATAAAATAGACGCATGGTGTTATAAAAAACAATGCAGCAGATAATTAAATTATTATGTAAATACATGGTGCTCACATATTTATTACAATGCTACATTATCCTTGTAACATCTATCTATATCCAAAATTTAAAAAAAAATTGCTTATCCAACCACTACAATGGAATTCGATTCGATATACAATTATTACCATTTAACTCTGGAACAGGACTTTTGTGCCGTGGTTCAAAATTGTACTAATCAATCGAAATTAAATATTTTATTCATAACTAAGCAAAAATAAACCTAAGGGAAGCGCTGGAAAATGTTAGAATTATAAAAAAAATCATTTTTGTATTGCAAAATGTTGTGCAATAGTAAAAATTAATAATACAAGCTAAACTGGCTGAATTATAAATACCCCGAAGCTGAATTTCAACGTGGGGTAGAGACGTCATTAAATTTATTGAAAATTTTATTTAACTTTAAACAAATACCCTTATTTGTGTATACTTTTAACAAATTTTTAAAATTCTTTATAATAATTACGACTACTCTATTAAGACTCGCCTGCTTGTCTATGTGAATTGTTCTCTAGTGTGTTCTCAGACAGAGACATGAATATCCTAGCGCAATAAACATAGTAATTATCATGGAGCAGTCTTGATGATGATATTACATAAATTTCATCAAATCAATAATATTAGCAGCTCTCCAAAATCACTATATATAAAAATGATTATATATATATAGTGGTAACAGTCTGCAATATCGAAAACTGTTTAAACTCCATCCATCCGTCGTTCCACAACTGAGCGTTTTCTAAGGCAGTTGCCGCGCACCACTACTATGTGGAACCAGCTTTCCACTGAAGTATTTCCGAATCAATTCGACTTAGGATCCTTCAAGAAAAAAGCGTAGCAATTCTTAAAAGGCCAGCAACGCACTTGCAAGCCGTCTGAGTGAGTGAGGCAGTGTGAGTGTCCATGGGCGGCGGTATCACTTTACATCAGGAGAGCGTCCTGCTCGTTTGCCTCCTATTACATAAAAAAATAACAGAAGAATTATTGGTACTAGATGATTTAAACAAAAACATTAATTTAATCTAGTGTTTTGCGAGCTATTCTTTAAACTTTGAATTTTGTGTTATCATTACCATTATCTTCACGACTAGATTCTAGATGTCTAGATTATCAATACATATAGTCTATATATATTCAATAACAAAATTCTTATGTATTGAATATCTTATATATAGGTCATGTTGAATCGGTGACGCTACGCTTCCCCGCTTCTGTTCCAAGCTGGTTTGTGAATACTAGTTTTAACGACGTAGCTCATTTGCATACTGTTTACCAGAATAGACCGTGGTACGACTTACAAATACCTTAACCTTATAACGATATCTAATACGAAACAAGAGAGGAATCTTTTTTGTTCCTTAAAGATAAAAAAGTTTTTCATACAGTAGTGACAATTGACATCATTGTAAAATGTCAAAACAGGTTGCTGACATTGATAAGACTAGAACTTTTTGTCAGGAATTGAAATCTTTTATTAGATTCAATAAATCATTAATATTTAATTTTGGCATTCGACACATTAAACCCATTCCTTTGTCAAATTGTGTCAAATACTCAGATCAGTTTTTAAACTCAATATTCGTAAAGTAATTGTAAAAGTGCAAGGATTATAAAATGTTGTTATCTATATTTAAAAAAAATTTGGGGGCTCCTAAGGGTTCCCCCCTAAACCCCTGGTTTTTTCGCCCGGAACCCCCTTTTGTTTGAATTTTTCAATTATTATCTCCTTATTAAAATCAAAACATGGGACCTTATTTTAATGATTTTCGAAATATTCAATTTTCTTAGCGGGAAGTTAAAAAAAAGGATAGATAAAAATAAATAAAATAAATAATAAAATAAAATTTATTTATTATTAGTAAAAAGTAAAAAATAGTAAAATTAAGTGTAATTTATTTGTTAAAAAAAAAGGCTCTTTTATTTTTATTTATTTTATAATATAGTAAGGTTAATCAATTTATTAATCTCGTTAGATGCGTTTATAAAATTAAAAAAAACTTCATTAAAGCCAATAAAAGTAACTTCTCAATTTAAAATAAATGTTATATTTGAGACAGCTGTTAGGCAACTCCATACTTGTTTATCCTTAAGTACACCTCTTCACATATCTCTTTCATCAGTTTTTTATAGAAAAGTTTAAAATTAAATGGCTAATTTCGTAGTCGTACATATTAAGTCAATAGTATTATCGGTACTCTGCGATAGGGGCTTGGCTTAAGGAACCGGAATAATGTATGCTTGGTGTTGTTCTAAACCTGTATTCACGCTTCACTTCTGTACTAAGCTGTATATGATAATATATTTGTTCTTAAGAGTCATTAGGAAATAAATAAGGTTGCAATGTCGAATTGATGATAAAACTCTCTAAAATTTAACTTGACTATATTTTCTTTATTATTTCTTCATTGAGAGATTATGTGGGAATTACAGATTACTGGCAGATCTAAATCTAGCATGATTTATAGTTGAAGCCAAAATTTGATACGTTTTTGACATAAGGAAGTCACACTTAGTGTTAAGTCTCATTATTCATACTCTTAAGGCCGCTTTCTATACTCGATCTATAATATAAAATTATTTCCAATCCAGATTGTCGCAAATTTAGATTGATAAATATTAAAATTCGATCTGTCGCACTGAAAGATATTTTACAAGATGAGAAATGGATTGAAGTATCAATATCTGGTAGTAACAATTGGATTGGGATTGAGTATAGAGAGCGGCCGTAAGTCACCTCATTATCATCACTATTAGCATTTACTATTTTTAATAGTTTTATGAACGATACTACCCAACTATATTATATATCCCTTTGAAATTAAATTTCCTTTAGTTTTTATAATTTTATTTTTTTTCTCTCTTCGTGTATTGTATGTTTGCCAATAAGTCGCTTGTTGTATTTTATTTTTCTTGTTTAAATTTATCAGTGTCGCACGCGTTGGCAATTTTTTATATATAAATTAAAAAACTGCAAATGAGCGAGCCGTTATCATGTAGCAGGGATAATTAGTAGTGTGTCTACGCCTTTATGTCGTGTTTTGTTAATAAAATCAACGTAATTTATATGCATAAATACCTGATTTCTGTATCTAATATAAAATCTTATTCTGAATATTTTAAGATTAGTTCTACCTCGACACACGATCGATATATACGTAATATAGTGAATAAATAATATATATTTAATTAGATATGGTGAGTTTTATGGTGCATACATAGCTTATTTTAGTTAAAGACTTTTTACAATAAATTCGTTTAAATTTTCAAAATAACTTAGGTTCTTCTTCATCAAGATTAATAAAGGCATTTAAATAATCATATTTATTTATACATATAATTGAAGTAACATACGGTTCGAAAAAACTAGTTTGAGTTTGTATATTTATTAGAAGTTCTATATTATGTTTTTGTTTACTTTCATTTCTGTCTCTTCGTATCTGTCTGATAAAGAATTAATTTGGGAGATATTTTTTTCACAAAAACTTCGTCATTGTGATTTAACTAAACTGTAGTTTTATTGCTCTTTTGTCCCTTTCGTCAAATTGTATATACGCTATGATGAAATGGGGCAGATTAGCTTTTGCTCAAACAGTGTATTATTTGTTTATTCTTTTGTGAATTTAATTCAATCATACAATAAAATTGTTATCTACGTATGAATGACGGAAGTTTTGAACATTGCTTTAAAAAAATATGTTAACAAACTGGATTAGTTTTTTAACTTTAAAAATAATTGAAATATTTTCAGACATCATACACGGACAAGGGTAAAAAGCCTGAAAACGGTCGATTCATTGCATTTCATCACATCACATACTGGGTATCCAATGCCAAGCAAGTATGTAAAACCTACTTATTATTAATGAATTAGAGAATACTCCTCCTTCAAAGGTTGGCAATGCCACACTAAAATGGGTACCCATGGCCTGCTATTACTCCCCTTTTAAGCCGTCCCGTAGGATCGTTTGCCCCCCTATCCAATAAACAAAAATTCCTCTCTCTTCAGTCGGTAGCTTATGCGTGCAAGCGCAAGGAAACATTTGGAGATGACAATCTGTTTCCATCGGTTTCTGTCCAGTGTCTCTCTTATAACAGTGTATAGTTTTGAGAACGATGAGTCTTTCACTTGATCGGTCCATCTCGTTGGTAAACGGCCACGAGATCTTTTGCCTTCTGTGTTACCACGTCCATTGTCCACGATCAGTTTCTTCAAGTAAAAATAAAATACATTATTATTAATTCTTTTGTAGCGTACTTTTGTAACGTCAACTTTTCCAAGGTAGTGCTGAGTCAAACGTTCCTTATGAATTGGTTTCTTAAAATCTGTGTACCATTACCTAGGCTGCGAGCTACTACATCACCCGATTTGGCTTTGAACCCTTGGGATATCAGGGCCTTGAGACTGGCTCCAGGAAAATCACGGCACACGCCGTCAGACTGAACAAGGTTAGTGCAAATCAAATCATAATTATAACAAATCAAAATACGTTTATTCAATTTAGATGCTTCTTAGAGCATGCTTATGAATGTCAACAACGTTTACAAAATTCACGAAAGAGCAAGACTACGCCATCCGTTCGCAAAACTACCAGGAGGCCTTGTTCTGAGAAGAACGGGCAAGAAACTCAGCAAGTTCTACCCTCCCTCTACATTACAATTATTCAAAGGAAAATGTCATAAACCACAACGTCATTAAAGTTACATAAGTAAAAAAATAAAAATCTGTTCTGTGATTTACCACATTCACCATTACACACATATTCATAACACTTCAAAGATAGATAATTTTTATTGAGATTAACGAAAACCGATTGCGAGAGAGTGAGAAGGGCGAATCACCTTATAGAAATTGTATTTTTTAAAATTAAGATCTCGTAAAGATAATTTATGAAATATTAGTATTTTATATTTTATGCAAAATAATTTATTGAAATCTCCAATGACGAATTGTAAATTAAAATGCCACGTGTTTTTATTATCAAAGAAATAAATTAAAAAAAGTTTATTGTTTGTATTAATTTTCGACACTTAATATTTTATTGACAATTAAATTCATTAAATTCCTAACATATCTTCCTTTTTCCCTCCCTCTAAGTGTCGGAAATCTAAAGTTTCAGATTTGTATAAATATGAACAAGACTTAAAAATTAGTTTGCTAAAGACGTTTCATTTCTGACATGTGTACTTTGTACGCCCCTTTTTTTTAATTGAATTATTGCTTATTTACAGATTGTGTTCGTTTTCCAAGCCCAATATGAGCCAGAAGAATCGAAACTCGTCAACGAGGTGGCTTATCATGGGGACTTCGTAAAGGATGTGGCGTTTGAGGTGGAGAATTTGGACTACATAGTGGAGTACGCGCGGAAACAGGGCGCGGTTGTAGTCAGGGACTTGTGGGAGGAAAGTGACGAACATGGTATAGTCAGAATGGCTAAATTGAAGACGGTGAGGACCAATATTTGTATATAATTTCTTGTGATGGGGGCTGCATCACAGCACGGGCTGAGTCCGCGTGTCTATAGTATTATAATGCGAAAAAGATTGACTCGATATTGTAAAATTTATCTAAGTAAAAAATAATAAAAATTCATTTGCTGTCCTGGTTGAAATGAAATTTGCGTTCCACCCGTTTCTTGATCTTATATTTTATAGGGCAAGTAGTTCGCCGGAAACATTTAATTGGCCAATAATTGAACCAGGAACCTCTGAAGTAGACGAGTAGCTTCAAACGAAAAATATACTAATGTAAATATGTCAATTTATGAAGTAATGAAGATTTAATTTACGATGTACCTACTCAGTTGTTTAATTTCTAGTACGGAGACAATACGCACACCCTAATAGATAGATCGAAATATAAAGGTCCATTCCTGCCTGGATATCAAACGCTTAATAATGACCCCATACAAAAATTTTTGTAAGTATAGCATTTTTTAATTTATATCACTGGATGTTTAAAATAATCCTCACTATTTAAATTAATATCAATTCCATTAAACAAACGAAATATGCTACATATGTGGCTGTTTATACACAACTTAGTTTCAGCCTCCGATGTTTTCACGATGTTTTCCTTCACCGTTCGAGCGAATATTAAATCCGCACATAGAAATAACCTAATGGACTTTCCATTGGTTAACCCTCCGACCTCAAGGATGAGAGTCGCACACTGAAGCCACTTGGCAAATACTGATTTTAATAATAAATGTAATTAATATTGGAAAATTTATGAACAATTACAAGTGAGGTTAACCCACCAACAACCATTACAATACTAACCATGCATTACCCTTAACCAAATTTATAAAAGTCTCACGAAGACTAAACAATTATTAATATCATTACAGGCCAAAAATTGGAATTAACTTCATTGATCACGTTGTCGGTAACCAGCCTGATAATGAGATGGAGCCTGCAGCTTCATGGTACGAACGGTGTCTTCAATTCCACAGGTATGTTTTGCTGTATTTATTAGAGTGTTATTATAATAAAATATAATACTGTATATTGTCTTTGGATTCCGTACCACACTTTAAACAATAGAATTGAATTGAAGAACCACGACTGCTAATACGTTAGTGAAGTAAAGTTTTCCCGAAAGGGGTCCATACTGCAGGACACGAAGGAATTGTAAAGTAAAATACAACCATCTGATTTGTAATTTTGCACTTTTTTTTAACGTGGCATTTTAAACTGTAATAAATGTTCATTAGTCCTTTACTGAAGGAGCAAAATTTAATTGTGCAGAAAGATAGAAAAGTCGATTAGTGCACAGCCACGATAGCAACGTAATAATGATCTCAGGGTTGAGAGGTTGGGGAGGTCACAGAAATATTATGTTCTTGCTTAAGCATAAGTTACTTGTGCTGTTTTAAGTAACAATAGCTCTTTGTCTTTAGATTCTGGTCAGTAGACGACAAGCAAATATGTACAGAATACTCAGCTCTCCGATCTATTGTTATGGCCAACTGGGAGGAGACAGTGAAGATGCCAATCAACGAACCAGCTGTTGGGAAGAAGAAGAGTCAGATCCAGGAGTATGTCGAGTACCATGGAGGCGCTGGTGTTCAACATATTGCTTTAAATACCGAGGATATAATCACTGCAGTAAGGATAATAATTATATCTATTTTCTGATGGTCTCTTATAAAAGAAGATGATCAGCCATCCAATCCTAAACAACAACAGTTTAAAACTCTATTTTGTATTCCTAATAGCATTTTTATAATAGGATTTGAGTGGTTATAGAAAACTGAATGTTACATATGTATGTATGAGATGTTTATTTGGGAAGGTTTTTACATTTGGCGGTCCATATTTGATCAGATTTTATCGTTCGTTGACATTTTCCGATTCCTAAAACAGTTGCCTATATTATCCAGTAATCAATTATTTTAAGAACTTGCGCGTGAGTCTAAAAACAACTTTGGACTCATCGGAAACTATTAAACAAAAATATTTTACAGATAGAAAATCTCCGTGCACGCGGCGTAGAGTTCTTATCCATTCCTTCAGTGTACTACAAAATTATCAGAGAAAGTTTGCAAAGCAGTAAAGTGAAGGTGGCGGAAAGTATCGACGCACTGGAACGTCTTAACATACTCATAGACTACGACGATGATGGCTATCTGCTCCAAATCTTCACTAAAAATACCCAAGATAGACCCACATTGTTCTTAGAAGTTATACAGAGAAGAAACCATAATGTAAGTATATGGATGTAAATGTGACATACATTCAAACACAAATAATATGCCTTGAGTGGCGAAAAAACCTTTGGGTTTTTAATGGATTAAATTCACGGAGTAGAAAAGATGGATGGAAAGTTATACAATAGTTGATAAATGACGGGCGTCATATCGCTTTTTATTAAAATCTTCAACCAAAATCCCATCCAATTAAATTTTTTACTAAGAAATAAGAAAATTTGAATATTAACGTCAATTTTGTTTCAGGGATTCGGCGCCGGCAACTTCAAAACACTATTCGAATCTATTGAGCTAGAACAAGAAAAACGTGGGAATCTTTAATACCAATGCAATGTCTTCGTATTAATTAAATAAATATGATAAATGTGATACGATTAATAAAACAATATCAATGCTCGCACTTTTTTTTTAAATGCCTTTAACAAAATTAGAGAGGTTACAACGTCCGAATCACACATCGCCTAGAAACGCCTAGGATCTAGATAACAATATATTAGGTCCTTACATATGAAATTGGCGTTTTGTATTGGAGGAACAAAAAAGTCGAATATTTTTAAATATAATATATTTAATTAATCAAAGTATGAACCATTGTTTTCTATGCACTTTTGCCATCTCATAGGTAGTTTATTGATCCCTTTACTAAAAAAAGCAGTCGGACGGGAATCAATAAAATCTATGAAGGCGATTTAGACTGCCCCATCAGAGTTAAATTTTTTCCCTTGCAAGAAGTTGTCCAAATTTCGAAAAAAATGGTAATCTGTTGGAGCAAGGTCCGGGGAGTACGGAGGATGTCTTAGACATTCCAATTGAAGCTCTTCTAATTTGGTAGCCGTCTGTTGTGCAGTGTGTGGTCTAGCGTTGTCGTGAAGTAGCAGTGGCGTGGAGCGATTGACCAGCCTAGGTTGTTTAGCCGCTAGCTTTTCAATCATGGTTTGCAATTGCTGACAATAGACATCAGCTGTAATAGTCTGGCCAGATTTGAGAAAACTGCAATGAACAATACCGGCACTAGTCCACCAAACGCTTACAAGTAACTTTTTTGGGGTTAATTTTCGCTTGGGGCAGGATTTGGCTGGCTGGCCAGGATCCAACCATTGTGCTGAGCGCTTCCGATTATCGTAAAGAATCCATTTTTTATCACAGGTAATGATTCGGTTTAAAATACCTTCATTATTGTGCCGGTTCAGTAATGTAACGCAGCAGTCGACGCGCGTTCGCCGGTTTGCTTCAGTCAATTCGTGAGGTACCCATCTTTCAAGCTTTTTAATCTTCCCAATTTGCTTCAAGTGAATTAAAGCAGTTTTATCACTAACACCGCAGCCTGCAGCTAACTCGGACGTGGTTTGCGATGGATCCGCTTCCACAATAGCCTTCAATACTTCCTTATCAACTTGGGTCTCAGGCCGTCCACGGGGCTTGTTCTACAGGTTGAAATTTCCAGAACGAAAACGTTGGAACCAAAAACGAACTGTGTTTTCTTTTGCAACATGACCGCCATACACATCATTCACCCTTCGAGTCGTTTCCGCAGCACTAGTGCCACGGCGGAACTCGTACTCGTAAATAATGCGATACTTTAAGTTTTCCATTTTGTAAAATGAGTGACGCAAACAGAAAAAAACAGAAGAAGAAAACAAATGAATGACGGTCATCGAAGCACAAATACATGAGTAAATAGCTGTACAAATTTGAATTTGGAATTCCTTACCAAAGAGGAGAACATCGTGATTAAAGTGGCCAGTACGAAATACGCCAATTTCATATGTAATGACCTAATATTTAGAGCAAATTCTTTACTAAACTTTGTGCGCTGTGCTGAGCAAATTGTCTTGTCAAATGTAAAAGTGAAACAGTATTAAGAAAATCTGTAGCCAATTGATAATAAATTACACTCGCTAAGTCAAACTGCTATATTGATCTTACCTATACTAGATTTACAGGGTTCCTAGGGAGACTAGGAATTCCTACACTCTCTATTCTCTCTTATCTCTAATTCCTACGTACGTCGAGATGACGAAGGACCACCGACGATACACGCCTTAAAAATTATAAATGTATTCTTTCCCAAGCTCTGTTGCGGATGGTTTGGATATGTATCAATGCCATCATAAAAATAACCTGTTAAAAAACCTCGCAACGCAAAAAGTTTCGTAAAAATTTGTGATACCCATGTAATATCAAGTCGGTCAATTTATTCAGTCCCTACTTAAGGGCCTTCGGTTATTACGTAATCAGGTAACTTAACAGCATCTTATAGTGACCATATCAATACAAATGTTTTATGGTCGAAATGGCCTGAACTGAAGTAGTCAAACAAAACATGTTAGCACGGTCAGTTTAAGACTCCCTCCTCATTGCCCATTGAATCCCATAGAAATGATTATATTGTGATGAAAAATGGAAATATACCTACAAGTGATACACAATTATTAATAGAAGAAGCTTTCACGCCAATTGGTGCAGAGGATTGGCGAAAATGTTGTGAATTGAAAACGATTTCATCAAGCAAGATAAGAATTGAAATGCTGGAAGAGCGATTTACAATAAACACCTCTTTATATTCATCATCTGATGAAGAACAAGAAATGCAAGTGGAGTTCTTGGAATATATATTTTCCTATATTAAGAACCCAATGTATAACAACATTATTTGTACAAATAAGTAATATAAATCATGTCCATAATACTGAATACATAAATAAAAATTAATGAGTATCAAAATCATTTAATCCCATAAATTTCCCCAGTATTGCCCGCAACAAATTTTTATTTGATATTTCCCCATTTGCCATGAGATTCTGGTAGAACTATAACCCCTCTCTAAGCGTACAACATTTTACAATTTTACATATATATTTTAATCTCATCTCACGTCATGTTGATTCAGTACTTTTGTTCCAAGCTGGTTTGATAATAATAATTTTTACGACGTAGCTCATTTGCATAATGTTTACCTGACGAGACTGTCGCACGATTTACAAATAACTTAACCTAATATATCTAATACTGAACAAGAGAAGTTTTAGTTCCTTAAAGAATAAAGAATGTTTATCACCCAGTAAGTAGTGACAATTAACATCACGGTAAAATGTCGGTACGGGTTGCTCACATTGATTAGACTATTTACGGATGATAGTCGAAAGAATGGAGTGCCCCTATCTACGACACTGCTCCGACATCTCCGCAGGGCTTTGTACCTGATAGTTTTTATTTAACTACTTTTTCCTTATTTTTACTAATTCTCTAACATAGATCTTAAGAAACTATTGTTACTAACTCACTAATCAATCAATGGACTGTATTTGTCTGATTAATAAAAAGTATTATTATTATTATTATTATATTTAGTTTTTTTGTTAAGAATTTAATTCCAGTTATTCAAATCTTTCAATAGATCCCATTATTCGTTACAATTAAATTGTGGCATTAAAAACTTTTGTCAAACTGTGTCAAATAGTCAGATCAGTTTTTAAACTAATTTAATTTTTATGTAAAAGCGGATTTATCAAATGTTATGGTGATACTTAAGTAAATATAAAAAAAATTAAAATTATAATTATAATAGGATTTTACTGTTTTTTGTAAGAAATAAAAAACTTTTTTATTTTTAATTATTTTATGATATAGTTTGTAGTAGGGTTAAGTAATTTATTAAACTCGTTAGATGCGTTAATAAAATTAAAAAAAAGCTTTATTAATGCCAATAAAAGTAACTTCTCAATTTAAAATAACTGTTATATTTGAAACAGCTATTAGGCAACTTCGCACTTGATAGTCTTAAGTTCGCAGTAAGATAGACGAAACATAGCGAAAGATAAGGGTGGCTTAAGTCAAAACCGTAATGGATTTTGACAAACGCGAATTTTCGAGCAAAGCTTCGTAAGTCTCCACACCTTTCTTTCATCCCGTTTTTTATAGAAAAGTTCATAGTTCAATCTGGGCTAATTTCCTAGTCGAAAATATAAATTCAATCGGTATCGGTACTATAAGGAGCTCTAAGGAACCGGAATCATGGATGGTGTTCCAAGCTTAGTATTCACGCTTCATTTTTCTGTACTAAGCTGTATCTATATAATAAAATGTTATGTTGGTTTGTATACGCTTCAAAACCTCAAAAAGTTCAGCACCGATCGAGCTGAAATTTTAGCATGATATATAATCCGCATCAAGGATTGTTTATTTTGTTTTTTTTATTTTTTCATTTTTTTTCCTCAAGTATTGAAAAATTAAACTTATATGAAATGTTTTCTTTGTTTTGTTCCTCATTTCTAAACCATTCAATCATAATGTGCCACAGCGAAGAGTGGCAGGGAACAGCTAGTATAATAATATAATATATTTGTACTTTAATGTGGGGCCGAATTGGCGCTTTATAGAGTTGCAAGCGGTGGCCCGGGGTGAAGTACCGTCTCGCCTTGCTGAGCACACCAAGCTTCTTAGAGGCCAACTTAGCCTTTCCTACCTTCCTTTCCAAAACTGAACGTTATTTGATATGTCAACGTCCAGTATCCCGATGCTAGCTGCGGCTTTAAGGACCGTGTCATCGAAGAATTTTTTTTGCGACAAAGGGATGTTTTTTTTTTGCGGAAATCACGCAAACTTGTATCTGCTTTGGGTAATATTGGACTGGATTTAGTGAACTCCAGTCCGAAACCCCAAGTAGCAGAGTTTTGATTTCAGACACAAGTTTGTTCCGGTACTCATCTACAACACTACTTCCCGAGAAATACCTGCCCGGCCAGTGTAAAGATTATCCCAAGTGATGTCGTCCGCATAGCAATGAATGTTGCTAAATTGCAACATATCATTAATATGCAAATTAAACAGGATTGGAGATAGGACACAGCCTTGTGGGACACCAGCATTTAGGGGCTTAAAGTCGGAACATGCTCCGTCGATGACGTCCTTGAAAATAGACCTTTTATTTTTTCAATGGCAAGCTTTTATAAACAACTGCAAATGTGCGAGCTGTTATCATAATATGGTAGAGAAAAATATTATTAGCAGTGTGATCTTTATATCGTGTTTTGTTTATAAAATCAACGTAATTTATATGCATAAATACCTGATTGCTGCATCTAATATAAAATCTTTTCCAAAACATTTTGACATTAGTTCAACCTCGACACACGATCGATATATAGTGAATAATTAATATTTATTTAATTAGATATGGTGAGTTTTATGGTTTTTGAATACGAGGCTTATTTTAGCTTTAGACTTTCTTTATATTAAATGTACAAAAAAATATTTAATTTAGGTTCTTTCTTGTATGAATTTATATGATTTAACAAAGTTCAAAAAACCTACTTTTAAAT